AAGGCTCTTTAACTGGAATTCTCCTAATCCCATATCATATTTCAACATACACTCAGTGAAGTACAGCAACGCCAGGTAAAATGAGAATAGCAAGTGTGGAAAATTTAAGCTCCTCTCACAATATCTTGCAGGAACATAGCAGTATCATTCTTTAAAACACCCTGAGGTATAATACTTTTACACTACTTATACTATAAATTAATCATTACAAAAACAAAACCCCTCCAAAATTATACACTGCTGACTCTAGAGTCCATCACAGAATCATAAAGGTTGAAAAAGACCTTCAAGATCACCTATCACCAATATTGCCCACTAAAACCATGTTCCTTAGTATTACAATTACATGTTTCTTGAATACCTCCAGAGTCAGTGACTCAAACCCCTCCCTGGTCAGCCTGTTCCTGTGCCTGTAAGGTTTCTTTCACAAGGAGCAACCAGCCTTCCTGGACTCCTTTCCCTTTCAAGACTGAATCCCAAGGGGGACCCTCCCTTCCAGGGTCCTGAATAGTTCAAAGTCTGCCCTCCAGAAGTCCAAGGCAGCAGTTTTGCTGACTTCCCTCCCAATATCACCAAGAATAGAGAACTCTAACATTTTGTGTTTGTTCTGCCCTAGACAGCTTCTGACCTCCACATATCCCACCAGTCCTTCTCCGCCTGGGAACAGCGGTCTAGCGGGGCTCCTCCCATGGTAGGCTTTCTTACCAGCTGCAGAAGGAAGTCATCTTCCAGACGCTCTAGAAACCTCCTAGACTGCTTCCTCTGCACTGTGTTGTATTTCCAGCATATATCAGGGAAGTATAAGTCCCCCCATAAGAACAAGGGCAGGCAGCCACATAACTTCTTCCAGATGCTCATAGAACACCTTATTTGTCTCTTCATCCTGGATAGGCAGTCTATAACAAACCCCCACCAAGATGTCAGCCCTGTTGGCCCTCCCCTGATCCTTAACTATAGTGATTCAACTTTATCATTACCAGCCCCAAGCTCAGCAATATCAAAACTTTCTAGGACAGATAGGCACATCACCACCCCTCCCTTCCTTGCCCATCCCTTCTGACAAGCTTCATAGCCATCACTGCAGTATTCCAATTCTGGCAACCATTCCACCATGTTTCAGTAATAGCAACTAAGTTACAGTTTGCCTGGGGCATGATGGCTTTCAGCTCTTCCTGTTTGCTGCCCACGTTGTGTGAATTACCATAGCTGCAATGCAACTGAGCCATTTGCCACACTCCTCACTCTGGTATTGCTCTCCCAGGCTCACTTCTAGCAAGCCTCATTTTATTTATCCCTTTTCCCCTTCACACCTAGTTTAAAGCCCTCCCAACAAGCCCTGCCAGCTCCTACTCTAGGTCAGTTTCCCTCTTTGAAACAGAGGAGACACATCAGACTGCCCCCAGCTGAAAAATCTGAAATTCCTGCAATGGCACCAGTCTCTCAGCTACGTATTTATCAGCTGGGATACGGGCTTTCCTGCTCCTCTCAGTATTTCTCGCTGCCACTGAAAGGATAGAGGAAAATATGATCTGTACTCCTGCTCCAACAACTAACTGCCCTCAATTCCCCTTTGATAGCCCTCAATCTAATCTGATCATCTGAAGTTGATTTCTTTTTCCTGCTTAAGAAGTTTCCTTTACAATAATGGGAAGGCTAAAGGAGAACTCTACACTGGAACACCATTGCTTCACACTACTATTTAATGCTAATTAAAGCAGTTTTCTCCCAGATAATTTAAAGCCTTCCTGATTTCACATCAAGTATCTGCTCTGGATACAGTCTAAAGAAAATGATAATTTTGCAATAAAAAATACAGCATCTGCTACACTTAAATTGCATATGCAAAATTACTGTTTACTACACTTCGAAATGAGTTGTGCAATATCCAAGCAAAGAAATGTCATGTAGTTCTTAATAACTGCTTTTCATTGCTTGGAATTCTGAAGACACAGGTGTTTTAATTTCCTTCACCTGCTCTAAAGCCTCACCTGCAACACAGGATTATCTAAGTAAAGATAGAAAGTTTTCTATTGTTTATCTGTTTGCTTGTTTTAGTTGTGTTTTTTTTTTTCCTCCCATGTCTGAAAGAGGTAAAGCAGCACTAAGACATACAGTAATGTTTGACCAGAAATCAGTATTGAGCAAAACCTAAGTCTGCTGTATTTAAATTTCTATTTTTATGCATACTAAAATGAGAAATGCATCCTAGGCTTAAATCGCACTGAAATGTACGGCTAAAATTAAAACAAAAAACAAAACCCACCAAAATACAAGTATTCTTAACAGAAAGAAATAGGAATCTCTCAGATTTGTTCTTAAACTGTAATGAAGATGCAAAACTCTTAACACACGACATTACCAGACTAAAAGCAGTGACAAAATTATTTTTTTATATTATAATTCAAAGACGGGGGCCCTACTAATCGCTATTGAGAGTGAAGGAAAAACAACTAACCTCTTTCCCCACAGTCTCGTTCTGCAGATTCTGAGATTTTCACCTTAATAGAATTCATTTCAAGAAAACACACATTCTGTATTGTTACACTTAAATATTGGTATTTAACTGAACTCAGCCTTTCTTAGGTAGAACCAAATCTGAATTTTAGTGTTTTACTTAAAATGATATCACGCTTTATTATCCCACATATAACTGAATCTACACGTGCATTACAAGGTGGAATTACTCTACTGAAGTTTAAGGAGATATTCTCAAAACAATTCTTGGATCTAAAATTAATAATCCACATTTTTACATATCTGAATTCTTTAAGCTTACACAATAATAGTGCTTCAAGTGATGAGCTATAATCATAGAACATTTATCTTGAATAATATCTCTTGAACAAAAGGAATTTTTTCCAAGTCATTAGAAAGAGTTAGGCATGATGGAAAATACAGTAAACAATACTGTCTGGATGAATTTAATTTGTGTTTTGGAATGATCCCAACACTTCCTGTCAGCAAGATCCGACAATACACACAATGTCAATTTTTAAACTGTTGTAACAATGCTTAAAGTTGCATTGTAGTAATTTTAAAAAAATTTTGCTATTTTCTTCCTTGAAATGCAAGTCTTATCACTGCAGTACTTTGGTGAAGTATGAGCCATTCTAGTTGTTTGCAATGATACAAATGGATTTTTTTTTTTTTTTTAAAGTATCATTCAAACATGTAGATAATTAGAAAGCATTGCAAATATTTCTTTCTCAGAATATGGTACAACCTTCAAAAAACAAGTTTCATTAAAAAAAAAAAAAAAAAAAAAAGCAGGTGTCAGAAAATATCTTTAGAAAATCAGCTGCACTGCCCTAATTGTAACACACTTGGCTTTACTTTGAATGAAGTGAGACCTCGCTTTGTCCTGGAAACAGGTGAAGCAAAAGGTTGCATCACATCATATAGACAAAAGCACTAGAATAGGAAATAGTTGAACTACTCTGAATTCTCAATTTTGCATTAGTGAATATAGATGATATTAAATTGCAGACTAAAAACACCTCTTCCTAACATCGCATCACTCACACGTGTTAAAGGATTAATACCTGCAACTTGAACCATTTTTATCTTTTTTTTTTTTTTTTTTTTTTTTTAAAAATCAGTATTTCCCCTACTGAGCACAATACCAACATAAACAGATTCATTGCTCTCCAGGTTCCCGCCATGAAGATTAAATATTAATAATTATTTTAACTAAATTGCCCTCCCCCTTCCAATGCAAAGAAGCAGCATTAAAAAGGAGTTGGTAATTCAAAATATTTTATCATTGCTAGTTTAAAGCAATGGTTTTAACTGTATAGAATGCTCTTTATTTCTTCCTACTTTGGTTATTATTTTGTATAAAGATTTCCACAAGATGGTGCTGCAGTCCTATTTTGGAAGTTGTTTTCTTATATCAGAAAAAAGTATATACCTTATTGTAAAACTAATGAGGTAATTTCCAAGATCTATTTTTAAGCAAAAAGAACAAGTTCATGCCTTCTTACTCTCTAAGTTCTTTTATTTTCTGGAAACAAATATATTGAAAATAGAAAGTTCTAATGAAAAAATCCAAAAATCCTTGATTAAGCTTATACAGCACATTTGATCAAGCTATGTACTTGTTTGTATGTAAAGTAAATTGAAATTCTGTATGATTACAGAAAAAAAAAATCATTACTGTTAAAATACAAATTACTTTCTACAGCATAACATGGAACAGCTGGGTTTTCTCCTTCATTTGCAAACTGTCATTTAAAAAAAAAAAAAAAAACAACAAAGCACTGATTTTATGAATCAAACTCCCAAAATCTTTTATGTAAAGTGGGCATTATAGCACAAAGAAATACTGATATGATAGGCCACTAATTTACAAAGGGAAATAAATCTTGTCACACTCAACATATTTTTGTTTAATTATATGTTTATGAAAGTCTTGCATCTTACATTGCTAAAGAGAAATTTTAATGCAGCTTCAAACCATAAAAGTCTTGTGCATCTTTGTATGCTGGATGGTCTCCATCTGTGCTGCTAGTCTTAAAACGTGTTGGGTAAGAGTACTAAAACACTCAACACATCTCTTGTAGTCTGTGGACTTACTCACACATTTTAATGTTTAGGATCAAACTGACTCACACTTTGTTTGTGTTAATGGAAGCCATAATGCATTGGTGCTCTCTAGGTGCATACAAAAATTTATATTAAAAAAGGTATGTATTTAAAAGTGTGCTTTCATTAAAACTTATTCAACAGCACAAATAGCAAGATAGTATGTAATAAAGCCTCTTGGGTACAATATGTAAGTACCAGCTGGAGTGTTTCCAACAGGATGTAAACCATAGTCCTCAAGCCCATGCTTTAAAAAACACACTACTTAGCACACTGCTAACAAATGTCAACACAAAAATGCACTGCTGTGATGACTTTGTTCTACAGAATGAAAGAGGGAGAAGCTATTTCAACAGTTTTACAAAGTTAAAGTCAGTGAGGTAAATTTTTTTAAAAAAAGATCATAAATACACAGATGCATTCAAAGATATTTACTCAAAGAATATAAAAAACAGTGAACATTACAAATTTGATATATTAAAAATTTGATGTTGTACAAACATACATATTACTTTTTATATCCATGCATCTACAGGGAACAGGCCTGAAGAGCCGCTCTTTCAGGCCTTTTCAGAGGTGTTACTTGAGGTTTTCAACAATTCTGAGGTTTCTTCAATGCTGAAAATAAATTGTTTACAGAGTCACATATACTTATTAAAATACACAAAAAGGCAAATAATTATTTACCTTCAAATGGATCCACAATACTAATATCCAGCAATAAACTAAGTATCTCTCATGCCCCTCTTCCTCTGCAATTGGTTTGCACACAAAATGTCTATCAAATATCAAAAAACCTCAAGTACACACAGAAAGAAGTAACCCACACAAAAGTAGAGAAGATTAAATCACAAAAGAAGGCAGCAATTTACTCAGGACAGGCATTCATAGAATAGGAATTAAATGCATTGCTGTTTCCTTAGCAATAATCAATTGTAATGTAAGAATTTCTTACAAAAAAAATTACTTATAATTCTCAGTAATATCATTAAACACACCTTAATGTAATGCTTAGGCTGAAATTGGTTTTTCTTTTTCTTTAATAATAAAACAGCAGAGCTAAAACTTATTAGCTACTTTTCAGGAAGAAAAGTTGCTCATCCTAGGGGGAACTCCTATCAGAAGATAAATAACATTGCTATTCCTTGTCAACTGAATTCTAAACACCCTTTGATCTTTAGCTGATACTATTAAGAATGCTTCTGTTGCTTTTTAGAAATCAAAACAATGACTCATCCCACAAATACAGAACTGTAGGTGGATTTATTATCCAGTGGAGTCATAAGGAAATGCCACACCTGATGCAGAGACCTTTGAGGTTTGGAACACATGTACATTCTCTATAAGTCTTAGTCCAGTACAATCCTCTCCTGGGAAATGAATTCCTGCTGCCCTTTCCCATTACTTACATTTTACTTATCCTTTCCATTCTTTGTCTTGTTGTCTCCTGCAATTTAAAAGCAACAAGTTTAGTGAACTCTTCAAAGCTCACATTCTTCAGATGGACTTTCAATCTGAAAAATTCATAGAGAATGCAACTTTAAGCACAGTTTACATAGCAAAAGGATTTTTTAAGAGACAGATCTAGAACAGCTTTGCATAGTTTCCTTGTTTTTCCACCAGTAGCATATACAACTGATATTACTGCTTACTTGTTCTCTTAACATCAGAAAGGAAATCAATGAACCATTTGCCAGTTTTAATTACCTTTGAAATCTCTGTCAGATCATGAGAATTAATTATCATGGCTTTGGGAGATGAGACTGTGGATAATGATGAACTGTATCCAGATGACTGACGAGGACACTCCGTCATCTCCTCCTTTTTTTCTGCATCTACAGAGAAAGGCTCATTTTTATGCGATCTTTGCCTTTTTCCTCTTTCATTACTAGGACAGCTATCAAATAGCTTGATTTACCATATGTAAAAACAAAAGACAATGCATTGTTTAGAAAGGAAAAAAAACAAACAAACTACTTGTGAAGTTCCAAAATAGTTTTCTCATTCCTTAAGACAAGAAAAAATGAAGTATATTAGGTATTACACAAACAAGACAAATCCAAAAAAGATCATTTATATCTTTTACAATTTTTTCAAGGAAAAGAAATAGTTTAGTACATAAAAAAAGTGTTGTGACCTTATTTTAAATAATATAAGCATCTTCAGATTACACCTTTGGAACATGTTCAGCTAAGCTATTTTGTAATTCAAATACATTATTTCTAATCAGTTTAAATTTAAAAGTGTTCCTCCAGAACAGCAGTGATTCTTGAAAAGTGATACAACAAAAAATGCAAAAAAAACCCACAAAACGCCAACATTTTCTGTACTGTATAGCCTTAAACATACAATTAAACCTGGCTGCATAATCATTAAGTTTACAGTGACTTGGATCACACAAACCAGAATAATGAAGTCAAAAGAATTCTAGAAGAAAGAAAACACAAAAATTCTCTATAAAAGACCATCATCCTATCTCCTGAGTATGAAGTCCTCAAATGTCAGTAAAGTATCATTGAACATACAAAGGAAAGTAAACATGGCAAGCTTTTTAAGGTCTGTATAAAGATCCAATTTCTAAGACTTTAAAATAAAAATAAACATTTGACATAATCAAGAAATGGCCTTCCTAACTTATGTGGAATCTGGATTACTCAGATAAAAGAAGTAGGTTCTTCACTTCCTGTCTAATTCCTATGCAACACCGCAACACTGGATCAAAAGGTCTAATAAATGAGAATATCCTCCTTACTAATAGTGGTAGGAATAATAGCTGCCATCATCCAGACAAGTCATATTAATAAGTGATGAAATATAAGGGATAAGCAGCTACCATTGAGGGGAAAAAAAAAGTTACTAAAGAAGCTGGGAAATTTTTTCTTTCCCACTTAAGGCTGTTTCATTTATGTCTGGTATATTACCAAACTTCATCTGGAAACTGAAGAAAGATTTTGTTGTGCTCTTCGAAATAAGAAAGCTCAGCAAAAAGGCTAGTTGGATAGCTGCTGTTTCAAGAGGGAAAAACTACAGAGAACGTTCAGCACAAATTATGAACTTGTTTTTGCCTCAATTTTCCCCAAGTCCCATTATAAAAGTAAGCAATGTAAATGTGCCAGTATTTTAAATACAGTAAACTGTGGCAGCAAACGTATGTTGTGCACCTTAAGTTAGCATCTGAGACTTTTGGTCAAGTGTCATTTGTAAATTAATTATCATGCTATGCATATCCATTTAAGCTTAAAAAAAATATATTTCTGTAATTTATTTAGTGTCTGTATTTACTAATATGAAATTGCTATTAGGTTCATTTCTTATCTAAAGCACGTATTTAAATTAGAACTGCGATAGATTGTCCACTTAAGAAGACTGTTTTAATCAAGTCAGCAAGAAGCACTTAGCATATGACTTTAATTAAAGAAGTCATTAACACTCACCAGGAGAGACTGGAATTATACTGGAAGTATCATCTTGACTTACACTGTTGAATTCTGCAGATAAGTCTCTCTGAAATACAAGTTTACTGCATTTTAGTTATATATAAAAAACATCTTCTGACTGAACAAACAAATACTTAAGTACTAAACATGAATACTTGTTCTACAACAATCCAGTTATGTCAGCATTGCACACATGTTTTCACAGGACTATCCATTCCATGGAGGCTTTGTTAATATTGTGGGTCAAAAGCAGGTCCAAATACAGTTTCTGTAACTTTGGTATGAGCAGAATGAATAGCCATAATATTCTTGACCTGTGCTGACAATTACATCTTGTTTCGGGCTGCAATTAACCTGAATAAAGTGTACCTTCCAAACTCAGATATTATTCAGAAATGTAGCATTTTAGTCTTAAGAATTAGCCTACAGATGAACTGAAATTAATTCCACTTAAATGCTTAGAGGTCAAGCCTAGCTAAGGCTAGTTTTCCAGACTCCTAAATGAGAGGGATGTTTCTAGAAGAGTTCTCAGTTTCATTCAACCTAGCTTCAAAAAGGCTGTTCATAACCAAGAAAACAAAACTGATGTTCCACTAAGAAATGTATGCAATTTCCTGACCACAAAGTTAAAAAAAAAAAAAAAAAAAAAAAAAAAAAAAAA